TTTTTGCGGAACCGGGGATTGAACTCAGATCCTTGCGTTTGCCAGGCAAGCGCTTATCCTACCGAGCCATCTCCCCGGTCCCCTATATAATTATATTTTAAGGACAGGCTTTTTCTATGTAAGTCAGACTAGCATTTATTTAATTCACTAAATAACTGACACTGGCCTTTAATTTGGGATAATCATGCTGCCTCAGCCTCCTGAATGCACTGATTGTTTTCAAACATTGCCAAATGTGGTTGAACAAAACTAGACTTACCTAAAACATGAAAGAATGTCTAGAAGAATCATCCCTACACAAGACTCTAGACTACCATTGTTATAGTCCTGTGGTTTATCTTACCATCCCAGTAACGGTTATCCTCATGTGATGCTCTACTGTTATGTTTTGTGTCTAGTTGTCTCCCCTCAAAAGCCTCAGGTAAGTCATGGGGCAGATGAGACTTGAGGGGCAGTGAGTGGCTTGATGGGCGTGGCCAGAGGACCAGGGCGGGGCTTGAGGGGCGGGGCCAGAGAGATTCAAACCATTAAACCGAGAGCATGTGCTCTGCATGTCCCCCAGGCCTGGTGGCCTCTCTTGAAGATGTGGAGAGGGTCATCCTGGAGACAACAGTGCCCCAGCCTCTCCTCCACACCCTGTAGAGAGGGAGCACCGTCTTGAAATCTCCAGTAACTGTGAGCTAAAAAACCCCTTTCCTTCCTTTATTTATTTATTTATTTATTTATTTGCGGAACTGGGGATTGAACTCAGGTCCTTGCGCTTGCCAGGGAAGCGTTTATTCCACTGAGCCATCTCCATAGCCCCTTTCCCTCATTTCGAGTGTCGGGTATTTGTCCCAGCAATGAGAGAAGTATAACTAAAATACATCTGCTAACTTCCTGATATAAAATACCACTGCAGCCAATGTTATTTGCTTTGAAGCCAACATGCTCTTAGACTTCCAGTTAAAAGGAAAAAGTGAGAATTTTGAAGAGTAAGGAGAAATACCACAAGTGAGCATCGAGATTGTTCAAGGCTGCAGGGCTTTCTGTTGCAGGACAGGGTCAGAGATTAGAGAGGGCCTTGCCAGATGGCAGATGGTGAAAGGGTGCTCCAAATGTATGCCACGGGGACTGTATTGGTTTGTGATTTGCACACAGCCAGCCATGAAGACAATCACTGACAACTGGAGAAATCTGGATACTGGCTTAGAGTTTGGACTGATAAAAATACGCTTATGTGGCAAAAGGTAAACATTTCCCAGGAAAAAGATCCCTTATGACACGACGTACACATACTCTTTTCTGAATCTCTACTTGCATTTCTCTTTCTCCTATACATTCGTCTTACCTGTATCTGGCCACAGTACTGTTTAGTGTGAGGTGTATGTGTACTTATTATTCCACTGAGCCCTCTGCATCGTGAGAATGTACACGTATCACTGAAGTAAGGCGAAAGGCTTATTTTCGATGGTGGCTATCTCAGAATAAAGAAGGGCCTTGTCTGAACGAACTGCTGATGGAGTGAAGGAAACCTGGTTCATCCTGACTCAGAATCACACCCATGTCCTTCATCATGCTTTGTGGACACAAGCAGATTTTAGTGCTGCGGCTGATTGGGATTCCTCAGTATTTGTGTGGGAAGCCAGATGAGAAAGATTTCTCTCCTTCTGTGATTATGAAAGGAAAGGAGGTCTTGATGAGTGGTCTAGCTGCCTTACAGGTGCCCTGAGGAAGTGCACTTGGCCAGGAGCCCTCCACGCAAGTCCCTTTCCTGCTTTGGGTTTTCCTCTCTCTGGACCCGCTTAGTTACTGGCTTAATTCTGTCATGTCTAAGCAGCTTATACTGTTCTCCAAAGCTACACAGTGGACCTGGAATTGAAGTGATCTTAATATTTACAGGGACTTTTCAAGACTGTAAAAGCATCTACTGAAGGCACTAGATTAAAATGGTATTGCTCAGAACATTCTGTCTCTGTCAAATGGGTGATTACTGTGGGTATCACATTATTCTTGGAGTAGGACAAAGAGTCTTCACGGTTTGATTGAGTCAGGAATAGGAGTTCCTGATGGAAGAAGATGCCAGAAATCATCACAGACCAACTAGAGCAGCAATGATGTATACCTATCTGTATACACAACCCAAGCTGGCATCTACTCTAGAAGATCTTTCTGTCTTCTTCTTTTTTTAAAAAAAATGTATTTGGTACAGGGTCTCACCACGTAGCTTGAACTTGTAGTGATCCTCCTGTTTTCAGCCCCCAAGCCCTGGAATTACAGGCATGTGCCACCATGCCCGATCTCAGTGGTCAGCGCAGTGTACCCTGGGGCAGGATGGCATGGCATGTGTTACTGGGGAGCAAATCCTGGTCCCTCTGCTTGCCTAAGCAGGTGCTTAGTCTGGAGAGCTATCTCCCTGGCCCTTTCTCTGCCTTTCTGTTCTTGTCTGTTTCTCTCTTTCATTTCTGTCTCTATCATCTATATTTCTTTCTCTATCATCATCTCTATCTCCACTTCTATCTTTATCTCTACCTATATCATCTATGTCAATCAATCTATATATTATTAAGCATAATAAGAAAGGGCCAAGATATGGACATGCCTGCAGTTGCACAGGGAATCTTAAGTGGTAGAGTGCAAAGAAATGAAAGTCCAATTCAACATAAGACTAGAAAGGAGGCCTGAGGTTGATGCCATGGCTACAAGTACCAAGGGACAGCCAACGGTTCCTTAAAGGAAACTGTATCTGTGGTACTAGGTTCATCTAATTGTACATATGTGATCATCTTTGTCCTTCTTGTCCATTGAAATCTGGGTCCCATTAAAATGCTATTTTCCATTTTTCAAAACTGACCATCTCTAAAGCTCATCTGGTAAGTTCTTGCTGGCTTTGCATGTGTCTACCCTGTCTGATTCTCAGTGCTCTCTGGTTGTATTTCCTCTGAGGATAGACTTTCCAGGATAACCTGGAGAGTAGCTTTCAGTCAAGGAATATTTCACATTGTGTATTCTGCCTCTGCTTGTTCCAGGCTACAGAGGTAGGCATTTAGTGTGCTGCTGAGAAACTCTACTGATGGTAAATGATCCCTGGTGGTTTTAGAAAACAACAGAAACAAACAGGGGAGGAGACAGAAGAGAGAAATGGGACAAGGAGGAGAAATCTCAGCATTGGTGAAGATTGGTTTACAGAGTGATCTGCCAGCTTCCTCTCCTGTTTCTACTGGTCAGTATCTTGGCTGTGTACACTATTAAGAGCCTGAAGGGCTGAACTGAACAGTCAGTTCTCCACACTTGCCAGCTCAAGTGCTGCCTGGTTTCTAACAGGTCTTGGTTGCAAGAATCAGCCCAGCCAGAATGGGAAAACTGCTGAAGTTGGCTTTTTTTCTGCTCTGCATGGGAATTGGTAATTCTTTGACTGTGGAATAAGAGTGTTTACCAAAGCAATTATACTTGTGTCATAGAGTTATGTAGAGGCCTGTCTTTGTTCCACTTGTTTGGTTTGCACAAGTTGCTGCTGATCTCTGAGGGAAAATATCCTATTCCACAAATCGTGGTTTACTCCCTGGCCAACTTGCTTTGTCTGCCCTTATTCCTTGGTTCCTTCTTATTTACTGACCACTGAGGAGTTATAACATTTTTCACGTAATGTTTTTCAAGTATGGTTGACTTGTGGGGTGAAGTTGCAGGGACCCTTGAGAATTCAGGGATGAATGACAGGGATCACAGCCTTGTGACAGTGTCTGTAGTCAGTATGTTACTCATTGTGGTGGGCAAGCATTGCCGGGGTAGAGGCCAGGGAGATGTTTCTCCCAGGCGTGGGAGTCTCCCTGATAGCCAGATTAGTTCTTTTTTCTAATGTGCAGACAATGAAATAATCTCTCTGATGCCTCCAGCTCAATCCAAGGTTCTACACATCCATACCTACAATACATCTCTCTGGCTAAACTTTACCTACTTCTCAAACAGTTTGAGTGATCTCTGTTCTCCTTGGCGTGTGATGTTTTGCTCCCCTCTTCTTTTCTCAACAGGCTTTCACCAGATAGCTTTCACTCTTCATTGTAAAAAGTGTTTATATTACTATGACGGGAAATGTGGCGAAGTGGAGAAAACATGTACTGCTGAAAATGGCCAAGTCTGTTTCAGTCTCAGAGTATCAGAAAACGACAACTGTAAGTGCTCGTGTGATGGGAGGCTGTGGTGGAGGACTGGGGGTAGTTTCTCTTCAAGGGCCAAAGCATCTCCTAAGATATCCTGTTTGGATGCATGGTGATTGGAGAATGAGATGTGAGGTTTTCAGGTTGAGATAGAGTCATAATGACTGGGAACGCTAAGGGTGGAGGTGGATCAAGGAACCTGTAGTCCCTGCTTGCAACTGATGTCCTTGCCTAATTGGAGAAATCCATCTGCATGTGTCCAGAGACTCTTAAAAATTAAGGAGCTTACATTTCTAAATGCCCCATTTCTCCCTTTCCATTCTGGTGGCCTCTGTTCTGTTTGCCTAACGTTGATAGAACTTTTCTGTGTGCTTAGTCATGCACCCTGGAATTCTTCCTCTCTCACGTCTCACACCCGTGTCTCCTCACCGCTCCTCCTGGCTTCCTGCCGTAGCCATCCCACTCCACCTGTCCTGCGCTATTTTAACTCCCAGTCACTTCTCTCATACTTGGTCCATGAGAGCAGAGATTCATTGCGTCTCATCTCTGTTGTGTGACCTCCAGAGAAAGCCCAGAGGCCAGCAGGTTTTCAGCAGGTATTTGTGCTTCCCTGCCTGTGTGTCATCCATCTTGATGCGCACTTCACCGCAAGAGTGTAGTTCCCTTCACCGACAAGCTCAGAGAGCTATCATGCTGATGCTGTTTTGTGAGAGTACACTGGCAGGTCTGAGTTTGGGGTTGTAGTTATCGAAGATTCTTCCATTCTTTTAAAATACCTCTGGCTTACCTCGAATCATTTGCAAACTTATTTGCCTTCATCTCGAAGTGATAGCTTTTTCTTCTCTTCTCTTTCACAGGGAGTCACCCAGAACATGGCTATAGTGACTGCACAGGTAGCTGCATTTCATCTTACCAGGATAACCGCTACTTTAAGATGCTCTACCTGTGCTGCGATTCCCACGATTACTGCAATGACCTCTCTGAGCCCCTGGATGATTTCCTAGCATCAGTAAATAAAACATATGTAATTTATCTCTTGTCTTCTCTCACATTTTCATTTTACTATGAAAAGGGCCTCGATAGTTTCACTCTTGGAATCATAGAGCCAGACATTCCCTTTGTGTTATTCCCAATGCAACGGCTGCAAAGCCCACATCCTTTGGTTGCTTTTTCCTCCCCAGTCAACAGGAACCTGGCTGTTTCAATATTTTTGTGACCTGGAAGGAATGTAGATACTTAAAGATGTACACTAAAGTATCACAGACTTTAAAGAGATTCAGAATAATTATATTCAGTGGAGTTATTGGATGACTTTCACCATAAGTGCTACGGCAGCATGTCAGTCTAAAGATCACAAGTTCATGGAGTGATGGAAGTTGTGTAAGAACGTAAATCGGGTATCAGTGACAGAGGGAGTCAAGAAGCTGGAGCGTCACAGGAAGATTCAGACCAGGTCCTGAGGAGCTTGCGCTTATGTTTCATGTTTCTCCTGATGATTTCTGTCCCCAGCATATATACATTCCCGAGACTGATAAATATGCTCAATGAGACAATGCGATGCCTCACACAAAGGCATTGCACTCCTGTAGTGTTGTTTGTGTTTACCACGTGCATGAATCTCCTTTCTAATAATCACCATGTTTGAAGAATTGTTAATGTGTTCTTCACAGGACAAATGTTTGCCTAGGGATGAGGGTGGGCCAACCCTGTGAGCAGAATGCAGGGTCACCTGAAGTGTGAAGACATTTATGTCACCAAGGCTCACCCTCCTTGTCAGGATTCATGTTTCATTATTCTGTTCCCTTTGATAATCGATTAGACAGCAACGAAAGCAGAGCTCTTCTGGAGTTTTGCCTATTACTTGTATAACTTTCTCTTTTTTTTTTTATTTTTCTTTTTTTTTTCAAAATTTTATTGATAAACAGCAATGAGACAGTTTCAAATCAAATCGGAAGTACAGTTTCAACAAATAACACACTGTATATATTCTTCTTACTGGTTAATTGCTGTAAAAGATGTTTACTTGAGAACCTATGTACAAACACCATTAGAGCAAATCATTCTATTCATTAAGAGAATGCAATTATACATCTATCCTAACCATGTATAACTTTCTCTTTCTTTCCCCCAAATAATATGTAATTCTAAGAAGGCAGTTTTGGCAAGGAATGGTGGCACCTGCTTGTAGTCCTAGAACTTGGGAGGCTGAAGCAGGTGGATTGCTCTAAGTTTGAGGCCAGCCTGAGTTACATAGTGAATTAAAGGCCAGGCTGAAGTGCATAGTGAGACCCTACCTCAAAACAAAACCCAAGAAGGCAAGTTTGATCTCAGGCTACCAGGATGTGCATGGAGCATGGGTGACTGAACCCACTGACCTCTTGTCCAATGTGTAGCGGTGCAGTGAACCAAGAGTGAATAGAGGAGACGGGAATTAGAAGACATGTTTTGAACATATGCAATGGGCCCTGTGTTGGGCAATGAGGTGGTGTGTTTGAATCCTGGCATTGCCACAGCCCACACAGACCAGGAACAGAAATATCACCAGTATTATCTTCCAACAAACAAAACGGAAGAAAAACAAAGAATGGAGTCATAGCTTCCCCATTCATGCAATTGTGGCAGCTCCTACTCAGTCACTTAGAGCTGTTAGACAGTAAAGTCAATAAATGTTACAGTGGGTTTGTAAAGGGTTTTCTTTGATGGGGAACTTTGAATCCTGTTTCTTAGTCCAGTGAAACCATAAGGTATTTAGAAGGATTATTATCTTCCTGTGTTCTGCTGTAGCCATCTGTACATCCACCAGGGCTCTCTATTTGAACACACTGGTGTCACACAATGAGGGCTATCTCTTTCTCTTTTTTGTCTAGGACATACACAGATACCACTAAGTCATTAATCGCATATATGCTTAGCATATTACAAAAGGAACAGTTGTCTCTATTTTTTTTTAAATGTATTTGGTGCAGAGTCACATTATGCAGACCAGACTCATGGTGATCCTCCTGTTTTTATCCTCCCCAGAGCTGGGATTATAGGCATGTACCACTATGCTCGGACTTGGTCACCAGCTCAGTGTATCCTAGGGGCAAGGCAGGATGGGGAATCAAACCCTTCTCCTTGAGCTTGCCAAAGCAGGTGCTTAGTCTGCTGAGCTATCTCACTGGCCCTACAATTCTCTCTTAAAGATATGGAAAATACATCCTAAGGCTCTTGTGCAAAAATAATAAATGAATACGAAACTTGAAAGCCAAGGCTTTTCACATGGGAATTAACTTTGGTAAATATGAAACAGTTAGTAAACTTATTATTTGAATTTAAAGCTTCATGTTTGCTTCTTCTTAGAAGTGGCCATGGCAATAAGGCAGGTAAAATAAATCCTGGTATTCTGCAGCTTAACAGGGTGCATTTAGCTCACAAGAACACATTTCACTGTTTCAGGAAGACCTGGGAGACAAGAACTTGACTGTTGCAAACATGAAGAAATAAACAAGGAAGATAAATGCTAGCTAACTTGATTTAATTCGTTCACATTGTATGGCTGGGTTGAAGCAGCCCACTGAAGCCTACTAGTGCATATTAACACATGTAACAAAGATAGAGTAATAGACTAAAGTCCAAAGATGGAAAATAATTTCCCTGAAGTGGAAATTCTGGAAGAAGGAGTAATTTTCCTAATTTTAAAAAGTGAACTCAAGCCCAGAATCATCAAAAGAGACAAAGAAGGTTACTATATATTTGTTAAAGGAACAATTCAACAGGAAAAGATAATAATTGTCAACACATTGGCACTAAATACCAGCAACTAACTTTATAAAATAAACACTAATAGATATGAAAAAGCAGATAAGTATGAATAAAATTGAAGTGGGGGGGTCTCAATAACTCATCACAACTGGATAGATCAACTAGGCAATAAATCAAGCAAAAAAAGAAAAAGTCAGAGTTGAACCAAACCTTTGAACAAATGAACTAAATATGTATTTACAGAGAATTCCATTCAAAACAACAAAATACAGGGCCAGCAAGATAGCTCAGTGGTCTAAAGTTCCTGCTTAGGCAAGCGCAGAAAAGCGGGGGGATATCCCCTGTTCTTAGATAGGTGGTGTTGTATGATTCAGGACAGATCTCTAGGAGAAAACAGGGAGGAGGGTATTTTACTTTGCACATTCAGCAAACTGACAGCAATGCCTGGCAGCAAACCAGCCAACAGCCAGGACAGAACAATCCCATCTTCTCAGAACTGTCTTAAGAGACCACTGAAGTACGTGCAGTATGTGACTGATCACAATCTCATGATTTAGAAGGTTTCTTGCACATTTCCCTTCATTAATAATTTGTACATTTTTTGGCCAGCCAGATAGTTCAGTGGACAAAAGTGACTTCTTAGGCAGAGTGCAGGGCTGGGGTTCAATCCCCAGCACCACAAGCCCTGCTGGCCCCGCCCCTGGGGTGTGCTGACATGGTGATTGAGACTGGGCATGGTGGTACACGCCTGTAATCCCAGGTTTCGGGAGGCTGAAAACAAGCGGATCACTATGAGTCAAATCTACATAGTGATATCCTGTAGACTCTGTATTACATAAAAAAAGAAAAGAAATAATAATTTGGTTTTTTTTAAATATAAAAATCCAACTTTATTGAACATGGGAATAGATGGACTTTCAAATTAATTATTTTTACTTAATGGTTATTATTTTTAAAACTATCTGATCCATGGTAGAACTTACTAACTGGTACTATACAAAGAGGCTTGTCCATTACTTCAACTCTATATTCATAAACAAATATATTTAAATCTAGATAGAAACATTTATGATTGGATTAGGGCATGGTAGTCCCTGCTATTTGCCCTGCTCAAGCTGACAGTGGGCAATCATCCACTCTACAGTAAATTTGAAGCACAAGCACAAATTTGAATTTTATACAAAAATTCAACTTTACTCTTATTCTTACATTGATGGGAGCAGACATCTGTAACTTACAGGCAAGCATATACTTCTGTTTTCTACCTCCTAGATGAACAAAAATATACACAAAGTATTTTTTTCTTAGGTAAGACTTGCTTTTTATATTTCAGTGAGAATACCATGTAACCCTGACATAAACAAAATGACCAGGATGCTAATGAAACCATCTTTGGAGGAAGTACTTAATATGCATCTTATTTAAGTATATCCTCCAGTAAGAAGCGGAGAATTCACTGCCTTAACTTGGAAGGCTTTGTAGCTATCTGTCCAATTTCTATGTGCAGCTCACCAACACTCCCTTGTTGAAAATACCAGTATTTCTGAACCTAGTTTTCAAAAGGACTTTAAAGTCTTAAAATTCTGAAGCTCCTTTGGCTTGTTTCTCTCTTGATTCCACCCACACTTTATTTATTTATTTATTTTTATTGAGAAAAAAAATTGCAATGTGACAGCTTCAAAACAGGTTGGTAGGAGAGTTCAACAATTAATATATTACATATTGTTGTCTTCATAGTATTTATCCATAGCACAAGATGCAGATATGGTATCCTGTCCAAACACTATTAGTACAGATCTTTCTTCTTATTGAATTAGGAGAAAGTAGCTATATATCTATCCCAGCTGTTTTGTATATACAGATGCAAAATTGTCTTTCATTTATATCACCTTTTTTGTTCAGTTTTATCAGAGATGGGTTCCATTGCCAGCTAAATATTGTGGATACATGAATTCAGCAAAATATTCCAATACAGTCCAGTACTCCACAACAGTAGTGGGATATCCACAGGACTGGCAATGTCCAAATCCAATGACTTGAGCCTTCCACAGCTCAGCATATTAACATGGCTTCACTTTTCATACCTGATTTCTACACTTTTCTGCTGGATGGTTAAGACCAAGATAAAGCAAGACCTATATAACAAAAAATGTAACTTTTGTATCTAACACAGTCAGTCAAGTCCCCTCAGGACTTATCCCAAAACCCTGTACCACACTTTGTAGATTCTTTGTCAGTGTCAGCCATGGGGATGAGTCACGGCCATTACTTGACCAATTTGCTCTCTGAGAAAGCCTGAGAGAGTGTTTTCTCTCCATGTGACTCTCTTTAGGCACACACTACATCATCGATCACATTCCTCTGTGGCCTCATAATCTCCTTGATCAGAAAATTTGGGGGGCTGGAGAGATGACTCAGTGGTCTAAAGCACCTACTTGAAACAAGCTTGGCAAAGCACAGGGACCGCGGTTCAATCCCCCAGCACCA